TTTTTTTTTTTTTTTTTTTTTTTTTTTTGGCCTCACAGAAGATCCAACTAAACTGTAGCAGTTAGAAATGCGTGAAGATAGAAGTTCTTGAACAGAATAGTGTTTGAAAAATAATTAAATGATATTGTAACAGTCAACATATTATTAATTTAATAATAAAGTGCATTATAATAAAATAAGAATAATTATTATTATTGCTATTCTATTGTTTTTCTTCTTGTCGTTATTATTATTATTAAAGTATTGAAAAATGTAGGCAAAATCTTTTCTTTTTTTTTTAAATACGTTAAAATATAGATATTTTTTTTTCTTTTTTTTTTAAAATAATAATTATAGAGCCGTTCTCAGGCGCCACAGACAATTACGCACCACTTTTTCCAGCAACGTGTTATTTCTGTATCTATTTTCGGTACCTCTGACGTCAGATTAAAGTTCAGCTACAGGCGAACACTAATATTGTTGGCCAGTGTTAACAGCGCAGTTTGGGAACATTAAATACTCCCGAGCAGACGGGTTGATCGCGCGGCATGAAAATTGATGATTATAGTGAACAATTATCAGCGGAAGGATATCTCGACTGACCTGACATGGTTTTGATGGGAAAAGGGGGGACGCCATCAGGGTCGGCCGTGAGAAGTGACGAAACCTGATAGTCCTGAGTCCACACCTTTTTTTTTTTTCCATTTCAAACCAAGGTGGAATTGAAGATAGAGGGAAATTTTTATTATTATTATTTTTTTAATAGTTGTTTTTTTTTTTTTTTTTCTTTTTTACATTTTTTTTATTTTTTTTNAATCCTCTTATAATATATTAATACAATTTTTTTTTTTTTTTTTTTTTTTTTTTTTTTTTTTTTTTTTTAAATTTTTTTTCTTTTTTTTAATAATTTAAAAAAAAAAAAAAAAAAATTGGAAGAGATTTTAATTGCGATTTTCAAAAATGCCAATTTGACTTTTGACTTTCAAAACTCACACCAAAAAAAGCAGGCGTCCGTTCCCTCCTCCTTCCTAAAGTGCAGTCTTCCAGCAGTCTCAACAACAACAGCCACATACACGCATGTTAGCATAAAGCCCATAGATGACACTTTCTTTCTAAACGGTGGTTTGATTTTTTGCTTTTAACTGTTATCCCTGGTGATGTGGGCATGTCATGCACTTTGCACATTCTATTCAAATTTCAGTCTTACTTTATTGGAAACGGTCAAGAATTTTTTTTTTTTTTTAAATTTATTTTGGGATAGAAAAGAGCAAAATGTTTTGGTGAATACCATTTCCGCTTTCATTTCATTTGTAGTTGTCATGTTTTGGGAACAACCGAAAGGACGTGGAAATTAATTCTTTAATACCGCATTTCCTTGTCCCTCTTACAATTATTTCAGCAAAAAGAATACGAGGAACAAAAAAGCTGTCCGGGGCGCAAAATCGCAAGCGCAAAGCAGAAAAAGTACTCACGGATCATACAGGGACATGGAAGGGGCACGGAACGGGTGCTTCGCACTGGGCGAAAGTTTACTGGCGTTGTGGTGTCCACCTTTTTCAGACTTCCCCGTTGACCTCCTCCGAGTCTCCTTTCCAAGGAGACACCCTGCTCTGGTGGCATACTTATCTGGTGCTTCCTATTTTGATGGCACCTTTATTTGGTGGCACCCTGCTCTTGTATTTAACTACGAAACCTTCTAGGTGGAGCTCTGTTAAATCTGGCATTTGGTGCCCAGAATGAACTGAGAGCAATTATATTTCAAGTAAAATTATCATCACTCAGCATCATGTGTAAAGAAAGCGATAAAATACGTAGTACATCTTTTGATGACGTAAACAATGATTTTGTTGTTTTTTTTTGGAAAATCTTGGAAAAGAAGTTTTAAGTTGTAAATTAAAGCATTTTCAATGATTATATAATAGAATTATTTCTGCGATTTTATAAACACATTCTTTATATTTTTTTTTAAAATTAAAAGACAATATAGATCCATATATTGAAAAGGCTTTAAATATATTTTTTCTTTGACCAGCTGATGAAATTTAAAATGGTAGGGAGGCATTGAACTGTTTAGCTAAGGGCTCCAGCAAGTCTAAGTCCGGTCATGTGTGCTCTGAAATATTGAAGATAATTGATATTTTTTCAACAACAAAAAACAAAACAAACTACAATTCAGTTCACAATCTTTCGGAAAATAAGAGCTTTTGATGGGTGTAATGGTCATTGGAAGTCGAGTTCAAACAAACATTTGAAGCAAACAGCACACATTTTCATAATAGATCATAATGAACTTTAATTCGTTCTTTTCCTTTTAAGTAATATCATCACCAAATGTGTTAATATCAATTTCTAGAAATCTTTCCAAAATTGTGCGACACATTTGTTAGCCAAACAAAATAATAAGACTGAAGAGTGTGGGAGCCAGGACACAGCCCTGCTTCACACCGTTTGTAACAGGGAATGCCTGAGATGACTGACCGTTGTCCTGCACTCGGGCCACTTTCACACAACCTGCCCCAGGAAACTCATCGGCATCACGCGGCAAGACAAAGTGCCTGACACGGAGGTCCTCGCTAGAGTGAACCTACCTAGCATTTTCTCCACTCTGATGCAGCCCCAACTCCGTTGGGCGGGACAAGTGGCCCGTATGGAAGACAACCGGCTCCCTAAACAGCTATTCTTCGGCGAATTCACGCTAGGCAAGCGCTCTCAGGGAGGTCAAAGAAAGCGTTACAAGATCACACTGAAAACGGTACTTAAGGCCTTCAGCATCAACCCAATTGAATGGGTGCAGACAGCCCAGGACAGAGCCAGGTGGAGATCAGCTGTCAAGAAAGGGGCTCAATCTCATGAAGCCAGTAGGAGAGCCACAGCTGAGACACGCAGGCTAGCCCGAAAAGGCAACATTAGATCACCAACTACAGCAACTATCCCCTGCTCGCGGTGCCAAAGACAATTCCGAGGACGGATCGGACCAGCAGGCCACCTACGAACTCCCCCTTACCGGATGACTAAATGGTCCTAGTGGATCTTGACGCACGAACAACAGCAACAACAAAAAATAATGAATTTAAAAATGTTACAATAATGGACAATCTTATTTTAATGCTTAAGTATAGGGATCCAAATGAGTAATAATTGATGTGAGTTAAACATTGTAAGTGTAGAGTTCAAAATTCAAAAATTTAATTTGTTTGTCTGCGCATAAATAATGTTATTGTTTTTGTTTTTTAAAATTGAAATAAAGCGGAAATAATAATAACGGAATTATGCTGTTGTGTATTGAAATTTTAATTCACAAAACTTTCGTTTTTACATTTAATCTCAATATTAGCCTAGCAACCGAGGAAATTATTGATAATCATGATTATACTTAATCAGATTGTATTAAACAATAGTTTTCCTTTGCAAAAGTAAATTTCATTAAGTTTACTTTTAAAAGACCTATTTTTTAAAAAAAACGATTTTGCTCTCTAGTGTCGCCTACTGCCTACTTCACATCCCCCCTCCCCTTTTCTTTGGTTGGCCACTGAATTCAAAAAGGAGATTATGATAATAAAAGCTTATTGTGCAAATATGCTTGGTTAATTGGACTTTAGATAACACGTAAGAATAAAAAGCAATTAATTCTCCCCTCCTGTTTTGGTAAAATTGAGTACGATATTTAGCAGTATCGTTTTTTAAATTTTTTTTTTTTTTTTTTTGGTTTTTTTTTTTTGGTTTTTTTTTGGGGGGGGGGGTATACACTACATTGTTTTAAGCAATAAACATCAAGTCAAAACATTAATATTACTAAATCTTTAATTGAAATAAATATGTACTGTAAGTACCATCTCTCAATATTGTTATTAACTGATAATAGCCGGTATCTTTTCCGAATAGAGTTTTGTTAATGTTACCTTGGCCTATGTCTCAAGACTCAAACACATTTTAAAAAATATTTGAAAACTGGTTAAAGTTGACAATCGTTGTTTGCATTAAAAAGGAATTTATTTATGCTTTTTAATTTTACGTTCGGCTTTTTGTAGTTATTACGTAAAATTATTGATGAAAAAGACGTACAAAATATTAAATACATTTAAGTTAAATTTAAGGACAAAACTGTGGGCACATTTAAGTATCGAAGAAGAAGAAATAAAAATATTCGAATCTAATCTGAAATAATTAGAGAAGAAGCAATTCCGTAGCAGACGCAGTTCTTCGCTGTTTTGCCGAGTAAATTTAGTTATGGACTCATTCATTTCGATTAATAGCTTTGTTTTTCTTTATAGGTTTTAATATTTTAAAGTATTAACCCGTTAAAATTCTAACGGATGATACAGTTTAATATGATGGAAACTTTTAAAATTGCTTATAATTAGTTTGATGAGGTTGGAGAATCCGAAGAGGAAGAATTATTCACTAATCAACTAATGCTAATACTAATACTAATTAGTAATAAGCAATAAGTCAGTAATAGTACTATCCTATCTACTATCTAAATATATTAATACACCAATGACTAATGACAACTTGGAGAAGTTGTTTTATTTCTGAGCTTATCTGCATTTCTTTTCTTCTTCCTGTCTAAGTCTAAGGCGTCAAATTCTAAGATTCTAATTACTAATGTTTGATTTTTAATTAATATATTTATTCAAATTGATAGTAGTACTATTAGTAGTATAAGTACAAATTAAATAATGTTAAATAATAGCATTGACAGAATAGGCAAAGGATTCCTATCCCTCTGTTCTGTCAGTGACATTATATAATGATTGTTTAAATCTATATTTAAAATTTGGAAATAAGCCGTGTTCAAATTGGAGTGAACCTTAGACTTAGAGAATTTTTTTATTCAATTCCTTTAACTTTGTCATTGTTGTAGCTGAATCTACGCTTCATTGTAATTTGTAACTTACAATGTAATCATATCTTAAAAAACACTTGTCCCTTTACAATGAAAATGTCATCATTACTCTACACTTACAGTGATTACAGATGTGTCATCAAATGATGAATTGAAATAAATTAACAATCCTAAAATTAAAAATAGGAAATCATTTGGTTTAAAACTATTTATGATTTTTCCCATAAGTCCCATATTATAGGGGTTTTTTTGGTGCTTTTTTTAATTGAAATAATTGTTTATATCAAATTATCTATCCCTATAACTATAATAACTTAAAAGTTTTGTCATCTTCTCATCATCCTAACAATTAAATATTTATAAATGTTACATGTTTGATTAAGTAAAGTTATTTTTAAAAAGTTTCATTTTTTTTTAAAGTGTTTATTTAATTTATCAAATTATTTTGCTTCAAACAATTCCTGAGTATTAATATCATGAAAAAAAAAAGGAAATGTCTTAGAATGAGATAATCCTAAAACCGAGATTTTAATCTTCACTAAACAAGAAATAATTATTCATTATTTAAACCAGTTCATTGAACATGAAGATCCTAATTTGCTAGAATTGAAAATTAGGCCTTTATACTAAAGTTTTAGTTAGTATATGGCTGAGTTTAATTTTTGCAGTTTTTTTTTTGTTATTAAACAAATTTACCAGAACTCACTTTCTTTTTTCATTATTTGAAAATAAACTTCATTAACTTAAATTAAATTCTGTGTTGAAAAAAAAAGGTGACAGAATGTTGTTCTGGTGCATTTTCTGACAAAAAAAGCACTCATTTTTATTATATGGATTCATTTTTACTCATATGAACAGAACCTGTGTGCTGGAGCCAGTTCATTTTTGTTTGCATGAACTGGTTGTTATTTTATCAATATTTTAACACAAAATACACAAATTAAATTGATGATTTTTAACCAGTTTTTGCATGTTCAGCAGCACAGAAGAGAGGGTTATAATTTTAAACCCCTCTGATAAGTGTTATGATATGCTTTGGTGTTTTTCCCCACCCCAAAGCTAGCTCAAAATTAACTGCACCATTGTGTATAGCTAACATTCTTTGTTGAGAGAACAATTTAAAATTACCAATTAATTATAACTTGCTTCAAACCATCTTGTTTTTTTGTGTGTAAATTTACAACCAGACAAATTGACTTTGTAGGTCATCAGCTGAAATTTTTTTTAAATGAATAATTACATATTTTTTTACAGTTAATATTTTAAATATACTTGACATCAAATTTTCTTTTTAAATGCACTCTCTCCTGCCCTCCTAACCCCTCCTTCTAAAAAAAAAAACACTACATCTTAAAACAGCTTAACATCATACTATAATGTATTTTAGGAGATCTCTTTAGTGGTTATCCATCAACATTTTATGTTGGAGAAAATAAAAAGCTTTTAACATGGCTTACAAAGGTGACATGGACACTGAAGATTTGGATCAACTAATTCATAGCTATGGTAAGGATTGCTTGAAAAGAATGTAAAGTATTAAAAGAAATAAAATCAAAAAGTTTATAAGAAAAATTATATACAGCTATGGTAGATGATGAGCTAAGGGAAGTAACAGCAATATTCATAGAAGCTTAAAGTTCATGGCCCTGGAAAAAAGAAATTGAAAGTATAATTTGGTGTCTCCTATAACACCAATGACTTCAAAACAAAGAGCAATAAAAGAAATTGGAATACTTATATCAATCATCATTTGGCATACATTGGGCAATTATATATATTGTGTAAACTTAATGAAGAAAAAAATGCGGGCCAAAGGTTGATAGAGAATCACTACATAGATTATCATTTTGTGTATTGAGATAAGTTTTTAATGGCCAAAGCTTTCAGTTGTTTTTTGTATTTACAGAATATGAAAATCAAAATTTTGTTAAAATGATAGAGCAGGAAAATCAGCTGATAAAAGGTAAGATGTAAACTCTTTTTTTTTTTGTTGCCTTGTTTTGTAAGGTTGTTTGCTTTACATCCACCTAATTTCTGTTAATTTTGAAAATGATTAAATTTTATTGAAAATGAGCTATTTATCAAGTGATCTGTAAACATAATGAAAGGAATTTTGTTTATTTTAAATTTAATTTGAAAGCTTTTCAGCAATAATATTTTTAAACCTTTTTTTTTACACTTAAACCCCTGAAAAGCCTTAGAAAGTCAAATTGAAGAATCTACTGAGGACACCAAAAGAATGGAAACAGACATATCTCATTTTGAAGAGGAAACTCAAAGACTGCTGAAGCAGTGCAACATAAATAAAGTCAATATTGATAGGTATGGTATGACTGTTATACTAATATAGAACACAAATGAAGATAAAATATAGATTTTAAAAATTATAATTTTGATTGATGAAAGTTTATGTAAATTTGAATATTTTTTAGCCAAAAGAAAACAAGGGGACTCATGTGTGACCACGAGGCTGCTCTGTTGAAGAAGTTAGAGTCCTTTAAACTAGAAACGGCAGAAAAACAGTAAATATAAATAATAATTAATTTTATTAACACGCAATGTTTTCAAATGTTGCTTTTTTTTTTTAAACCGTGCAAATACAAGCTATGTGCAGTTTGTGTAAAAAAATTTTACAAGTTATTTAAATTTTTTTTTTACAAGTAAAATTTATGGACACATAAAGGAGCCCAAATTATTATCTTTTTTTTTTGTTGTAATTTATATTGTTTTCATCATATTGTTTTTTTTTACATAATTATTTTTCAGAAAATTTTACAAAGAAAATATTGTTAAGTATTCAGATATAAGGGATGATCATATGAGAAAATACAGATGCTTTCCCATGGCCATTGAGTTAGAAAATAAGAAGGCAGAAGTGTTGTCAGCTCAAGAGCTTGTTAGTCAAGCTGAATCTACAAAAACTTCTTTAAAAGAAATGGTAGCAGCCAAAGAAGGTAGAATCAAGTTTATGTTTATTAAATGGTAATATTATATTTCACTTTACTCACAAGTGGCTGGATTTGCTTTAATATTTTGACGATAATGTGATTTTTGAAAAATACTTTTACCCTATTACCAAGTTTTTGAATGTACAGTATTTTTCTTTTTCAAAAATCATATCAGAAATGTTTGTCTTGTGAATCTTGTGTTGTTGTTTTTTTCTACATTGCAGATGAGTTAAATAGTAAAGTGATGTCCAGGATCATTGTAAAAATGTATCTTTAACATCAGCAAAACATCACTGGTATGGTAATTTATGGAACATCTCCAATTTTTTATAAGGTCAGACAAAAATCATTCTTTGCAGTAGTGATAGGAGGGAAATCAATGCTGCTAATATGACTGCTTTTCAGAAATATTACTTATCCTTATGAAGTATTTGAATGAATGAAATATATATAGATACTATTTTTTAAAATTTTCTATGTAGACAATAATGTCGTTTAAGACAAGCCTCTTCCATTCCCAGTCCACCAGATTAATTTTGAATAACTTATTGTCTTGAAATTTTAAATAATGTATATTCTAGTATTCTAGTCCACTTGTTTACCTTAACTGTGACTAAAGAGCCAAGGCCAAACTTAGGACATTTCAGCTGGATAAAGAAATCCAGGAATGTTTACATCAACGAGATGCCTTACTGAAGCAGGTGGAAGATGTGTCACATAGTAAACTGTCAGTACAGACCAATGTATGTAGCCTATTCCTTTTTATATTTTCTTAGCAGTCAAATATATATATAATAATAATAATAACAAAGTTTATTTTTTTAAAATCACGCTTCATCCCCAAAGGCTCGCAGTGTGGTACAAAGTGAACCATATTAAAAGAGAAATGCAACAATCTATATTACACCACATTAAAACACAAAACGCAACACTACAAAAACTACCAACGAGCATACCCATTCAAAGTCTTTCATCCCTTTCAACTATAAACAACACAAGCCAATATACATATATAATATGCCATATAAATATATATATATATGTGTGTGTTTTGTGTGTTCTGATTATTCATTTATCTATAAGTTAAGGAGTTTTAAATAACCTATACATTATATAAAAATTTTCCTCAGTGCTAAGACATAATCTGGTTTGGTGGTTTCCATCTATCCATTAGTGCTCCCATGCCACCCTGCAGACATATCTACTTAACACTACCTATAAAACTTATATATATAATACTTTGTTGGCTCTATCAGTGATAAAAAGTTAACAGTGAAACTGAGTTATGTCAAGGTGTGACTTTGTCTCTCAGAAATAACGTCATGGTTGGCAGAACACACTAACCTGCAAGCAAATATGCTCTAATTTTATTCAAATCTGAAATTGCTCTCTCAAAAGTTAAGAAATTCCTTTTGAAACATTATATGTTCACTGCTGCGTTTCTGGATATTTAAATAACTATTACACATTTTTTAAAAATCAATACCCTATTTACTTTATTATTATAGTGTTAATTTGTTAAATTATCAAAATATTTTGAATATCAATATCAGCACAAAATGTATTGCTCCTTTTTTACTGTTCCTCAGCTGATAGAGAAAAATTATGTTCTAAAACAGCCTTCAGCTTTTATTAAATGGCATTCCCGTTAAAGTTGGGAGAAAGTTTACAATTTATTCATTTAACACTGACCCTAAAGTTATTTTATTAATTCACACTCCATCCCTATGTGCATTTTTAGTTTTGAAATTACAATAGTTAATGACAACAGGGTTGAATATTTTTGGAATCCAAATTGATGCTGTTTTGAAAGCTGCTTACAGTTATTATACTTTTTTGATAGATTTCAACCTTTTAAGATTTCAATACAGTCCCAAGGTCTATAAAATATATGTGTTTTTCTTAATATATCTTATCAAATTTAATGTATTATTTTTTTTTATCAGCTTGATATTAGGATAATGGGAAGTAACTGTTCATTCAATGTTTATTCTTTTAGGATTGTGTTCACCAATACAGTGAAGAAATCCCAATGGAAACTGGTGAAGAAAGTTTAGCACCAAAAAACTCCAGATCTCCTCCACAGTAAGACCACATTGAGGATATGAGTACACTGAGGAAAATTAATTTTTTTCTAGGCTTTCACAAGACAACAACCATCTGTCAATCTTGCTCATGTGTAGTTATATGGAATATCTATGAAAATTGTATTTATTTTTAATTAAACATGTTTAATATTTCCCTTAGGTCAAATGAAAACAAGTCAGCTCAGAATAAAGAACAAGAAAAATTTGCATTTGGTAATAATCTCAAACACTACATTTTGTTGCTAAGCATAATTGTCATAAACTATTTTTAACACTTGTTAATATTACAGTTTAAGATTTGTTTCTAGCAACCTCATTGACTTTAAGAATATCATTAAAAAAGTGCTGTCATACAATACATTTTACACTATTAGTATCATTCTTATTTGTAGGCCCATCTCTCAACAGACTGTACAAATGATCAGGATATGCTAGATGAACAAAATGAGATTTGTGAGAATGCATCTTATGTTGACCAGTCGTCTGGCATGAGACAGCAAGAGCTCATGCCATCTGAAATCATTATCCAAACCACTGAACAGCATGGAATTTCTTGTTGTCTCACATCAACTCCTATGCAGAGAGATGGACAAAAGGTGTTTTTGTTATCATTCTTTCAAGAGTGAATGACTGACGCAAATGTGTATTTTGTTTGAAGTTTGTTTTTCAACAATTATTATTTTTTTTTTTCAAATGTCAGGTACAGAGTTTTTACATACAAGGAAATGGTCATTTATTTTATGCTGTTTATCGATTTTGACATACATTTTTTAAATGGTTACATTCTCAAAATATGTTATTGTTGAAGTATTTATATATATTTTTAATTGTTAATTAAGTAACTAAACTAACTTTAGATTAGTCTCCATGATCACCACTAGTTAATAAACTAACTATAGAAATATAATATACTCTCCCTATAATAAAAAAAATTATGAAATGACTCCAACAGCTTAATTGGATTTTCTCATTAACTACTGGCAGATATAATAATTATTCATTAATAAATTATTTAGAGAACTATATTCTAGATCTAATTTTTCTGACAAAGTTTGGAATGTATGCCCTATTTGGGTTCAGAGGGTTTTACTCCAGCTGTGCACATTCCAGCTTTGGATTGAATTAATTGTATTTTATTGAAGTCTCATCAGTTAAAATGTATTTATTTTAAATATTATCATAAAGTAAATATAAATTTGTTTTTTTTAAACTAAAAAAAAAAAAGATAATTAAGATTGTTACTCTATGTGATACAATTTATTTCTAGGAACCTGGTAATTCTGTGAATGTTTCATCATCATTTACTGCCTGCCAAGATGACCAGCCATTGAGAGAATCAGAACCTTGCACTGGTGCTGTTTATTCTGAGAAAACAGCTACTTCAGCTTTTCCTAGACGGACAGCAACTCCAAGATATTCTCAAGCTGATTTTACAAGAACAACACAGCAATCATTACTGCAATCCCAGAAGGCAAGTTATGTTGTTGTTTTTTTTAATACAATTCATAGAGGAATACATTTTTTACAGAGAGTTTAAAGCTGAGATTTGACACCCAGAATAAACCTTCTTTTACATTCCTTTTAATACTTTTACTTTCATGCATGCAAATTTTGACAAGTATTTTGTATGTATTTTATTGTATGCTTTTACAAATTTTTGTTAAATTATGACAGGTTCAACCAACTACATGCTCTACAAGCTCAGGTCAAAGTCAACATAATAATGTCAGCAGACCTCAGCCAGTTTTATTAACCTCAACAGCTGTCAGCAGGTTACCAGTACCTTGCTTTGGAAAGGTAGGGTTGTTAAAAGTTGGTGGTAATTTAATTGTTACATTGCATTATTATAGATAGGCCTACATAATACTGAATATCACTGAAGATATTGGACTCCTAAGAGAACTTATTAAATGGATGTTTTTATCTTTACAGAGCTCATTACTTAAAAACCAGGAAAAGCAAGCGAATGTAGACATTAAAAAATTCACAGCACCTTCGTTTTTCCCCAAATTTAACTTATCACAAACAACACTGCAACCAAGGCAACCCTGTACTCCCCTGGCAAGGCAACCCTGTACTCCCCTGGCAAAGCCACCATGCACTCCCCTGGTAAAGCCACCATGCACAACACTCCCAAGACAACCATATACTCCTCTTCCAAGGCAGGATGCTGGACAACTGATTTCTAGCTGTATAGACCAGACAAAAGCACCAAATCTGCAGTATGAAATTGGACAGGTAATAACTCAAAGAAACTATACTTCAATTAAAGCAGTCCCTTTTCTATACTCTGTAACTCCTACCAATTGTTTGACTACGTCTAGCCCCCCCAACTTTTTCCTTTTTTTTTATACAAATTTAAAAAAAAATACTTCTCATTTTTTTTATTGAATTGTAAAGAGAACTGCACCCTCTGGAAAAAGTGCCACCTTGCCCCTGAGCATCCCATGTTGGTTAACTCCTTGTTTGAGGGTTACATGATTTTCTAGTTCTCCATTGTTGCTAAAAATAATAAGAAGAATTTTATCATACTAAATTTCAAGGCAATTTCATGTTATACCGGTACATTAATTGTTTCTATTTATTAATTTTTTTTTGTGGTATTATTTCAATTTTTTAAAATAAATGTAATTATTGTTTCATTTTAATTTCTAACTATTTTAGTTCAAAAATAAAAATTGGTCATCAATTTGATTTATTTCTGTGATATTTTTCAGCATAAAACACCAGCACCTGGCACAGTACAACATAGACAAAGTTTTCAGTCATTTCTGCCTAGGTTTCCTAGTAAAGTACCACCACAGACAAACAAGACAACATACTCAGCAATCAAGGAGACACCAACATCTTCATCTACCATTCAGGTAACATTATCTACTACAGGGGTCTCAAACTCAAAACATCCGGGGGCCGCAGGAGGTAGAGTCTGATTGAGACTGGGCCACATCAAGTGTTCCACAAAAAAGCGATTACAAATTCATTAAAGTACAACTGTTACAATCTGCTCAACCTTTATAAATAACAAATAAAAACATTAAGGGTTCTCAACAACTAGGCTTCACTTTCTTCCTCCAACTTGTTTCCAGAGGCCTGGTAGCGCTTCTTCTTACACAGCAACTTTGGCTTGGAAGTAACTGAGTCCCTCAGTATAGCTTTAAGATGCTCATCAGTAAGTTTGGTCATGAATTTTAACTTGTTAAAGTTCATAGTGGAAAAGAGCTTTTAGATAGGTGCTCCCAAAAAGTCATATGATCCACTTGAACAACCTAGAAATAAAATCTCAGTGAAGGTGGTGGGCAATGCTCTCATAAAATGTCCATGCTTGTGTGTTTTTCCGTTCACCTCCCTCAACTTAGAATTGCACTTTGCACTGAAGATCCTCAGCTCCATTTAAAGTACAAGAATTTGGTTACGGGAGGTTGGGGCATTCGTAAGTTTTATTTAAATTGCTATGTACTGTGACGCCGCCAGTAATGGGGGGGGGGGGGGGGGGGGGGGGGTTGGAATCTTCCAAATTATAGAGAAAGGGTCAGCAAACAGCTGAAAAGTGGCTGTGTGTGTTTTGAAGTCTAAAAAATGTGATCAAATTCTTCCTGTAGCTTTGCAATTGCATCAGTATACATACTACTAAGTTACTACTAAATGGTGTGGCCGAGTTCATGAGTACTTTATATTTTGGGAAATGGCAGAGGTTTCTCTAAGAAGCATAACACAAGATTTGTGCAAAATGCCTTGACACTGTCATAGGCAACACTGACAAGCTACCCCTTGTAACGTCTTGTTGAGTACATTCAGCTCCTGTGTAATGTCAACAAGAAAAGCCAAGTCCATGAGCCATTTTGGATCACTTAGTATAGGAACAACAACCTCATCCTTCTCCATGAAGGCTTTGAAGGCTAAAACAGAAGGCAGGGGCAGGTAATATTTATGAATTATTGATGGGAATGAAAATGCTATTGTAGGAATAATGAATTTTGATTTTTTATCTTAGAAAAGGCCTTTTTGACTAACCCTACTTTGAAATGACCAAGCTGATAGGCTCGGAATTTCCCTCACTCTTAAAACACAAGCGGTAATTTTAATAAGGATTCTATGATACTGTGTCCGATTTCTTCGATTTACACAATTAAGGTTGTGCATTACCCACCAACTGACTTTTTAAAACATTTCTCAAAAAATGCTATACAATAAAAATTTTAGTCCCATTTTAAAACGGTTCTTACCATCATAATCAACGTCAAAACCTATACTAACATAATAAAAATCAGAATTAGACTAGTTGGTGAGATTCGACTGAAACCGTTGCCGAGGGTCACACTATAGATATGAGAATGGGAAAAACGCGCGAGCCGCTGTCATGTAGTGGGCCGCAAAATATCATCTTGTGCGTCGCAAATGGCCCGAATGTTTGAGACCCCTGATCTACCAGCTGGGGAAATGCAACCACAATACACATGTAAAATACACATGTAACATATGGGAAGAGGTGCATAATATATAATAATAAATCCAGATGTGATTCCAGGTATCCACCATTTATCATGCATAATAATTCGTAGGGAACCTCCCTCCCATCCCCAAAACACTTATTTGCAAAGGGACGTAATAATCATGATACTGGCGCTCTACCTGATTTTCATTAGTTACGTCCCTGCTGACAAAATCAACTCTGGAATTATAATTATAGATTTATCAAATTCAAAACATAGACATATCCTGGATAGTGTCAATAGCATACAAAAATAGTGTCATTAAGGGACGCAATGCAATGTCTTAGGCAATACACATTGAGTTAAAAAATGAGCTTGCACTTTCTTAGATAAAATTTTTTTAAAATTCTTTAGCACATACTAAAAATTGCAAGTTAGTTTTTTTTTAAAATTAGTTATAGATGGTTGTCTAGGGAATGGTTAAAGTAAGCTGTGAGCCAGGAAATTTTTCTTGGTGCTCTGAAATCTCCATACTGAGATATAAAATTGTCTAAAATCTTTTAATTTTGGCTTTTGATGCCAGAATCAGAAAACAGAAACTATTAAGATTATTAATGGATATAATAAATTGTTTAAATTCAAAATCCCTGCAATGCTTCATTTGTATTACATATTTTAAAAGTTATAAGCATCTCATATAATTTGTGCATTCTCAAATAATTTTCCTCCTATATTTCTGATTTGTGATTAACCAGAATGTTAATGTCTGCTCTTTTTTTGCCCCTGTCCTAGGCACAACAATCTGTGAGGCTGGCACCATCAATGTCATTGTCACAAAAGACAGGAGATTCTTCTTCAAGAACTACACCATCAGGTTTATATTACATGCTCATATTGTGGTCACTCCTTCACATATAAGACATTTAAAGTCCAAAACTATCTCCAAATGTGTAAATAATTATAATTTGACTCAATATGACATATGTGCAGTTTTAAAAATATGTCTTAAAAGACTTAGGGGCCTACACAGTGAAGACATGTCACTAACTATACTTGCCTTTGGGTCACACTTTTTTTTGCCACAAATTTTGATAAAAATCGAGGGTGGCACCTATTCACTCTATATCAATTTAGCTCACTGTTATTCAGTGTTGGGAGTAGTCATTTACATGAAAAGTCATAGAAATGTTTTCTCCATTGCTCCAGCTCAAGGTGTGGGCATTTTTTTTTTTTTAACCAAAAAAATTTTTGTTGAAGATCACATAGTTAATGTTTTCAGTTTTAAAGTTGTTATGGAAATATTTTTGTAACACTTGCAACAAATGTTGTTCGAATTTACATTAAAAGGGACTTTGTTTTTTCCATTGCTTCAGCTCAAGGTGTGGGCATTTTTTTTTTTTTAACCAAAAAAATTTTTGTTGAAGATCACATAGTTAATGTTTTCAGTTTTAAAGTTGTTATGGAAATATTTTTGTAACACTTGCAACAAATGTTTGTCGTATTTACATTAAAAGGGACCCTGTAACTCCCAAAACTAAAGGTAATACCTATCTGTGGGTCAACCGCAAATACCCACTTTTGAAAACCACAAACTAAGGGTTTGACATATCCACTGGTGTGACCTATCCACTGGTGTGACCTATACACTGGTGCAACATATCCACTGGTGTGACCTATCTACTGGTTCAACATATTCACTGGTGTGACCTATCCACTGGTGCAACCTATACATTGGTGTGACCTATACACTGGTGTGACATATCCACTGGTGCGATCTATATGTGAGTATATATGGAAACATGCATCATTTAAATCAAGACAGTGGTTTTCTGTGGGAATCACATGTAGGCATTCCATATGCTATTTAGTGAGATATGATTCTATATTCTACACTAGTTTTACTTTAGTTAACGTTTGAAGAAAAAAAATTGAAAATCATTTGTCAAAATAATATCATTAATATAATAAAATGTTTTGTGTACTCCAGTTTCATTGCCCATGAAGCAAGATAGACCAAATGGTGAACAATCTAAACAAAATCTGGAAAATAATTCCAATAGCAGGAATGTAAGAGAAGATCCATCAGAGTCATTTAGAACACGTCACAATAATATGGTACTTTAGTGTTTTAATAAACATACTTATTATGTCTCTTTGTGCTAACCTGTATTTGAATAAAAATTTCTATAAAATAATATGTAGCCTACAAGTAAAATTAATGAGAACATATTTGATAGAGTTTGCAGTGTAATCCAATTTTAGACATTTAATCCAAGTGTTAGAATTTTAGCTTTGATGTTCTTTATTAAAAAAATGTTTTTAATGCAGGCTTGTAATATGGTAATACTTTAATCAATACTTTTAGACTGATAATGGAGCAAATAAATTCAACTTTTTGGGAGATTCGATTTTACAAGAACCAAGCTATCAAGAAATGGAGCCCTTGTTCAAGCTCAATATTGGTAGTAAAGTTTTTTACAAAAATCAAATCAAATATTAAATTAAATCCAGTAGAACAAACAACTATATACCTTTATTGACCTGATACAATTAGGACATTTTAAGACATTTTAAAAGTTTATAGAGGCCTAGGCAACTTTACTTGTTTTCAGGCACTATTGTTTTACCACATGCACAATGCTCAAAGATGTCACTAGTATGTCACCTTGGTGGTTTCCTGCAATTTTGTCATAAAAATGTTGTTTCCAAAGACAAATATTTATATGACTTGAATTGAAAATATTATTACCAATAATATTTATGAAAATGTAATAAAATTACATTGAAGTGCTTCATAAGAACCGAAATAGAAATTCTTTAAATTAACTCAACACCATTAAGCTATAACGTTTAACAGATGTCATAAAAATAAATAAATTGAACGGGGACAGGAATATTATTTTTGCAGTCTTGGGTTTTAATAACAGCTTTTATACCATATCTTAAAAATTCCCAAAATGTATTGCCATGAAGTATCATGTTGTTTCTTATTCATTTTGTTATGGTTGTCCTCAGTAGCCTTGACGGACTTTGAAATATTTACATCACAAGGATTAAGAAGAAGATAAAGGCAACTCTTAGTAAAGCCACACATCTTTTTTTTTTTATCTTTCCAAAAAGCAAAACTTTAAACGGAACTAATTAGAAAAGTCACTTGTAAGTCTTTATTTCGTGGCAGTCTTTCCTCAGCAAGAGAAGTTAATTTTCTTATTTTGTCTACATTAATGATGGAATGTGAAAATTGTCTGACTACAGAATTTTTACTTGCATGTATGCCACACTTTTTTTTTTACCAAAAAAAAATCCTTCACTTACTTTGAAAATTACTTCTACGTTTTATCATTTTTCTAGGTCATAATTTCATCCTAAAATTTTTACTTGACAGATATCAACTCAGACCAAAGAAACCCAGGTGCCACAGGAGTCAGTAATTCCCAGACTTCTGGCAAATTTGGCAAAAAATCTTCCCAGACTTCTCAGCATTTTGAACTGGGATCATTTTTTGGTAACTTTGATGCCAATGATTGTGATGATGATGATGATGATACAGACCGGTCGGCATTATACAATCTCTTCAAGTTCAGTGGGAAATCAAAGGACTCATCCAAAGATGAAGAAAATGCAAGCTCTGCTGTGTTTACTCTGGGGAAATTCATGGAGAATGATTCTGACTCTTCAGAAGTTGAACCGGCAACCTTTCTCAACTTCTGCAGTGGTGAAACTGCAGAGAAGAGGGATCATGCCCATCAGGGATTTTCTTTAAACTTTGCTTCAGAGCTGGAGAACACTGATGGGATTAGCAATGATGGTGCAGATGGGGAAAGGCCCCAATTCAAGCTGTTTGACAAAGGCATAGATTTCTGAAAAGGATTGATGTTTCGAATGGCAAGACTAGCTGTAGAAATCTGATGGATTGGGAGATCTTTAAAATTATAAGCAACTACAATTATTTGTTTAAAGTTTAATTCTTGAAACATCTTGTGACATCATTCTCAGGGTAGTAGGTTGGTCTCTAAGCAATAATTATTTAGCTTCAGTATATCACATTAGGTGAAAGTTAGGAAACAATTTCTCATCCTATGGTATAGTATTCAATTCTGAGAGGGATGGCTTTATCAATTTAAATATTTGTATTTTTATAGTGAATTTTTTTTAAAAACTCAAACCCTTTTCATATTTATGACAGTTTAATGGAAAGGGAATCCTCTTGAAGGGAGGTAAGATCAGCTCCATCAACAAACATTAGCTAAGCTAATGGAGTATCTTCTCTATTTTGTTTGTTTGACATTATTTATTTTTAAGATGTTCAGTTATTGTTTTTTTTTTAAAGTTTACACAAAACTGTTTGTTGACAACTTAATACTTTAATTCAAACCCATTAAAATAATTTCCTTTATATAATTTAGTTCATTGCTTAAGTTAGACACAAATTCATTGTTCATAGTTCATGTTTGTGATTATTTTGGTGAATAAACATTTTAAGGCTTGCTGACAAATATTTTTGAAAATATTTTCTGATTTAGTTTTTTAGTTTGAGACTGTCAAATAAACGAATGAGAATCAAAGAATTAGATTTTTACATTTTTACTAAGGTCCCATTAAATGTTGGTATCAATATGTATTTTTGATCAGTCCCCTTAGCCCCAAAATCTTTGTTTGGAACATCATCGATTGTTTAACAATATTTACCTTCATGGTTTCGCAATATTTTTTTAAAAAATGGCAAGATTTTCATAAATCCGAGTGCACAAAATTAGGTGGATCCAGGGGACAGCGATGCAACCACAATGAACAGCAAGGCAAATCAGGCATTTGGAATGTTGACATCTGTGTCTATGGAGATAAAGCAACATGCGCATACATTTGTGTAAAATAATGATACACGATACACCGCGCCATCCTATTGGACCCCAATACAAGCTATTGTTAGCATGTTTCTTACGGTCATTTTATTTCGACTCCTGTTTTCGGACTCACTCGTCTCTTCCCATCACCCATATAGTCACAAAATTTCCTCATGCTATCCAACCGTCACATGTCCACCCAGTGGCGTAGCGAGGGTGTTCGGCGCCCGGGGACAAGATTTTGCGCCCGGGGACAAGATCCATTTTAGCGCCCCTTTTTCTTTTTTTTCAACTCTCAAACCCATTATTTTCATCAATAAAATAATATCAAAGCACATTTTGGCGCCCCTAACTAGCTGGCGCCAGGGGACATCTGTCCCCCCTGCCCCCACCACGCTACGCCTCTGTGTCCACCGAAATGCCTCGGACAACTTTTTTTTTTTTTTATTTTATTTTGCTTTTTTACAAACATTCACGAAGCACGTCCTACTTAACACAGCCAAAAACTTCCCTTACGGTCGGGAAAACGGTTCACTCAATATGATATCATTATTTCCAAGCCTTGAAATCAAGGGCCTGTAATGCAGAGTAAACAATACTAAAAGTATTTCCGTCAATGTTGTGTTTCCTAATTGCAGTAGGGTAGCTAGGGTTTAGTGCCGCCCATTGCTGGTCACGATTGCCGCCATCTCAAATGACGAGAAAGTCTACCACCCCAACGGTCGGTTAACAGAGATTTCCTTTAATAGTTTGTTGTTTTTTTTTGTATACCGACTACAATGGTGGACATGCACTTATCTGTAATGGTTTCACCGATAACAACTTACACGAGCCTTTCATGCAGCTAATTAAAGGAGATAACATGACCTGGCCGTCTCTCAAATAAGATCATATAAAGCGGCGCTGCCACTCTGCTCTTCAAATACCTTGAGGTTTATTCAATACATTTCTCCAGATTATAAAATACCCCGGTGAATCGTATCGTTTCCCAGACTGTGTGCAAAGAGGTGCGCAATGCGATCGGGGCGCTATGTCATCCAAAATACAGTACCTCGAGAATGTGAATTGGGAAGAAATAATTCGGATTCTTGAAACTCGGTTTCAATTATAAAATTACCAGGCCCTAACCGCAAACAAGCTTATCAATTCTTTATAACTAATTTATAATTTCTTTTTTAACCTTTTTGAAATTATTCAAATGACTCTTCTTTCAGTTCTGCATTTAAATTCGAGGATAGCCATTTTTTCACTTAAATTTTCTCTCTATCTTTCACAGTATTATTTTGTTCGTTTTAAAAGCGTCTAAAATTTCCTATCAAACTTAAATTGTGAGAAAATTATTTTAAAATTGTCGACAACTTATCGATTTGTTAAATTTGTTATTGAATGCAAACTTAAGTCACTCAGGAGCTAAATTGTGGGGCTAATGTTTAATCTTATTCTTATAGATTTATGTTATTTGTGTAACTAAGTTACATTACCGTAATTAATGAAACTAATTATCATTCATTGTTAATTATTCAATGGTCACTTTAATTTTATGTCCAAAAATAAGTATATACGCCAAAGAAAATTGTATTTAATAATTAAATTTGCTGCCTCCCAACCTACTTTAGTTTATTTCTATGTGTATATTTATATTTTTTTTTTTATTTCTATGTGTTTATTTATAGTTGTTTATTTCTATGTGTTTATTTAAAGTTGTTTATTTCTATATGTTTATTTATAGTTGTTTATTTCAATGTGTTTATTTCTTATTTAAAAAATTAACTTCAAATTATAAATCTTTTATGCCTATTTTTTTCAAAACAGTTTTCAGCTTTGAAACTTTTAGAATAATTGGTGTGGTTAACCTATATTTTAAGAGCAAAGCCCCCACGTGTTTCTTTTGGAAGCAGTTTCCCCCACGTGTTTCTTTTGGAAGCAGTTTCCCCCACGTGTTTCTTTTGGGAGCAGTTTCCCCCACGTGTTTCTTTTGGGAGCAGTTTCCCCCACGTGTTTCTTTTGGGAGCAGTTTCCCCCACGTGTTTCTTTTGGGAGCAGTTTCCCCCACGTGTTTCTTTTGGGAGCAGTTTCCCCCACGTGTTTCTTTTGGGAGCAGTTTCCCCCACGTGTTTCTTTTGGGAGCAGTTTCCCCCACGTGTTTCTTTTGGGAGCAGTTTCCCCCACGTGTTTCTTTTGGGAGCAGTTTCCCCCACGTGTTTCTTTTGGGAGCAGTTTCCCCCACGTGTTTCTTTTGGGAGCAGTTTCCCCCACGTGTTTCTTTTGGGAGCAGTTTCCCCCACGTGTTTCTTTTGGGAGCAGTTTCCCCCACGTGTTTCTTTTGGGAGCAGTTTCCCCCACGTGTTTCTTTTGGGAGCAGTTTCCCCCACGTGTTTCTTTTGGGAGCAGTTTCCCCCACGTGTTTCTTTTGGGAGCAGTTTCCCCCACGTGTTTCTTTTGGGAGCAGTTTCCCCCACGTGTTTCTTTTGGNCCCATGTTTATTTTGGGGAGCAGGCCCCCCACGTGTTTCATTTGGGGGCAGTTTCCCCCCCCCCCAAAAAAAAAAGACGTGTTTCTTCTACGTTGTCACAGATAGTCAGGTCGACCTATTCTACTGCTACGAGTCAAGTCTTGGACTTGTAAGGTCGAGTATGGGAAGATAATAATCTGAAGTGAGTTTTAAACTTCCCAAGAGATGTATACAGATGCAGAATTGAACGTATGAATAGCCTGTTCTATATCACTAGCAGTGTTTCTTTCAGATAAATGGACATGCTATACTGACAGCTTGTGTTTAGGTCAGGGGAATTAGTGTTTTTTGCTTGATCTCAGAAACCTTCTGAAGATAATTGGACTTTCTATAAAGCTAGGCCTACGTGGGGAAACCATTATATGTATAGGTTTGAATAATAGCGTTTCCGTGTATTCAATACACTGTGTAAAAAATAGTTACTTAGAATGGATATTAAGAAAGGGAAGGTTGGGATTTATTTTTTTTTATTTTTTTTCCACGTTCGACAGATCAGACCAGGCCCGTTCTTAGGCATACGCTGACTACGCATCCGCGTAAGGCCCCGAACGTGAGGGGGCCCCCGTCAGGCGCCCTCGATCCCCCGGTTTATTTTTTCACTGCAGCCGTCTGTGTCACTCACGTTACCTTCCTCATCCTGAAATGTATCATTCTGAGTTGAATTCGGAGGCAGGGGAAGGGAGCAGCAAGGGGGGGGGGGCCTTTGGGGGTGGCAGACAGGAAATCGGGGGGCTTGGCTGTGGGATTGGGAAAGAGGAAACATTGATGAGGTCAGAATGGGGGTGCCGAAGGGGTGGGTGGTGTTTTCTCCTCAGCTCGAGGGAGCTCCCAAACTCCTAAGAACGGCTCTGATCAGACAACTTTGAAATGGCACCACGTTCCATATATTATAGCCTCGATAAATGAAATTAAATTATGTGCCTGGTCTTCGCGTGTTCATGTTATGAGAAAATGTCTGGCATTCACTTATATCGAGTCCAAGAGAACCTTGATCACTTTAGCCAGAAACACGGTGAAAGATCTTGTAATAAAATATGCACTAATGGAAGCCAGATGTCTTAGAAGGGTGAGATGAATAAAAATAATCGAATACTATTGTTTGGAATCGTACGAGGCATTATTTTATACCATCTCATCATCGAATACCAAAAGTTTGTAAACTAAACTAAGAATAGTATCTGCGTGTTATGAAATGAGCGACGTGGCAGTAAGCACATGAGTTGGTCCAG